CTGATGATGTTATTCATAACATTTTTAAAATACTACTATATATAAATTTCGTGTAAGCTGTCTCTCATAAAATTTTGCTTCAATTTATTTTTTTCAATATGAATTCTCAACCTACAATCTGTTTGGTATTGAGGGAAAGTCTTGAACTCTGGTATTTTAAACGTTCACTTTACAGTAACTTAATAATCTTTGTCATCTCGAAATAGACTGTAGAAGGAGATTCAAAACTATAGTAACAGTTTTATTTTCAATAACAAGAAAGAATTTGCAGTTATGACTTATACAAAAATTCATGTTTTCACTTATCACCTAATCAGTTGCTTTCATCCTCTTCTTTTATCATATCTGGTATTTTTCTTCTGGTAGTCTCCATCGTACCCTCATCCATCACTTCTGTTGAATCTTTGCTCTCAAGATCATTGTCCAGAGTATCACAACTCTCCGTATTCATTTTATTGAGTTTTGTTACAAATTTAATCACGTTATTTACGACGCTACGCTCCTGACAATTCTGAAAAATAATTTTATTACATCTGTCATGCTACTCGTTTGCAAAAACTCTTACATCTCTGATTTTGTCGCACTGGCTTAGCAATTCGTCGATTGTGATTTTGTTTTCTGGCAGGTCCAACATGAGGAGCATTTTGGAAAAAGTTGCATTCATTTTACTCCTGGGTTTGTTTATTATCTCATTACAGATGGACGTAGCAAGATTTGAGTGAATATGTACAGCCTAAAAAGATACAGGGAAATGCTTCAGGAAAGTTTATCGTAAAATGTGTATCGCATCAATGAAATGAAATATATTGTTTTTTATTTTTTTTGGGGGAAAAAGCCTTTTGAGATTCTCTTTCTCCTTCTTCCAACATAGCCCAGTCGAATCGACTCAAAAAGGGGTTAGCAACGCAAAAATTTCTACTAGCAATTTTCTTTCAGAATTTTCTTGTAGAAACTAAGAAGAGCTTGTTTTATCAAAATAGAATATCTGACACCGACAACTTGAATAAAACATGTTGGACCATAGTCAAAGAGTTAACCAAAAAAGGTAATTTTCCGAATAATATTTCTCTTTCCGTTGACGGTGGAGAGCCTATAGAGAATGGCGAAACAGTGGCAAATCTATTCAACAATTTTTTTAAACAAGTGCCATACGATGTAATAAACAACATTCCACAAACAAAAAAATATGATTTTGATACAGGTAATTGTGTTGATATTAATCTAAAAATGAATCTATACATTCACAAATGTCGAATTATTACTGATATCTCGTTTGCAAAATTCAAAATTATCTGGTTTTGATGAAATGCCGGCTTTCGTTGTTAAAACTGTGTTACATCACAGTTTAACAGCAGCTAAGACTGTTTATTTTTCTTTGGTGGAATCTCACTTGAGATATGGAATTCCATTTTGGTAAGTATGTAGTGGTTATCTACTTCAAAATATTTTAGTTTTGCAAAAACGAGCCATGAGATATATGTGCAAATCAAAACGTGCAGACTTTTGTAGATTACTCTTCAACACTCATGGAATTCTAACAGTGATTTCTATCTTTATAATGTGCAGTATAGAATAAATTATTGACTTTTCATTGATATTGTTTTTTAATTATGCTTATGTATCAAGCTATTTCGCAAAAAGTAGAAATAAAGTGAAATATTTATCTGTTTTTAAAAACTGTATCAACTTTCCATCATTTGTGGCATAATTTTTTCTGGTGTTTTAAATTTTGGGGAAATAAGTTGTATTTAGAATTGCAATTGGTAATAAAAATGCGTTGGAAAGATAAGTTAGGCATAAAGCACTATCTTTGTTGAGGTTTGGCTAAATTTGAGAAATCGGCAAATGACAAATTTACGAAAAACTGTAAAAAAACTAAATTTGTACTAGAAAGCTAAAAATTGGTTTATTGGTAGAAAATGAAAAAACAATCATCTTTTCTCTTTACCGATTTTCGAAATTTCTGAACATTTTTTGGAAATAATGTCAAATTGGACAGGGAAGAAAAATCACTTGATCGGATATGCATGTCATTTGACATCATTTTTAAAGCACAACCTAATGGAGATATCAAAAGTTGCTTGAAGAGATGAACAAAAAAAATCCCATTTGATGCGGACTTTATGTGTGACACTGTATATACATGGAAGTTTTAAAATTTGCATTTTGATGAACAATGGTTTGGCATGTTCCCTTGGTCCAGCCTTAGCCATAGTTCTAACAATTTTTTTTTGATTTATTAATAACTGATGGCACGCTGAGCTTGTGCCCCATAAGTGGCAGTGAACCATACCATAATATACAGTTTTCAGGACTTCAATTGATACTATTTCTCTGAGATTTCTAAATAAAAATTGACTTCTGGACAGCTTTTTTTTGCAATTCCTGAATGTGTTCTTTCCAGTTCAGGTTGGAATCTATGTGAATTCCTAGTATTTTGACTGATGAATCATTTGCTTTATTTTTTGAGAAAGTTATTTCTTTAGTTTTGTTTTTATTCAAAGATAAAATATTTGCGTTGAAGTAAGCTTCACCTCGTGACAGTGTCTCACTTGACATTCTATCGATCTCTTCTAAATTCCTGCTTCTGATTGAAAAACTTGAGTCATCTGCGTACATAAATACATCTGCGATGTCTAAGAAGGTTGGCAGATCATTCATCTAGATTATAAACAACAGTGGCCCCAGGACTGAACCCTGAGGTACACCATGTTTGATTTGTATGGTCCTGGAGGTCACATTATTGTAGGATATGTATTGTTGTCTGTCTGTAATGAATGTTTCAATGAGTCGAAGAGCTGGTCCGCGTATCCCGTATTTCTGGAGCTTTTCTAATAGGATGCCATGTGAGACACTGTCGAAGGCTTTCGACAAGTCGCATAGGATTGCATGTGTATGTTTTGTAGTATTGATATTTTTCAATTTTTAAAAGTGAAAAGAAGTGGGTAAAATGTTATCATTGTATTATCACGTTCATTTTCAATTTTACTAGAAAAATTGTGGTAAACAAAGTTGTATAAAAATAATTCCTACAATTTTGGCCGCTATTTTTTTTTTTTTAGTATTGATATTTTTCAATTTATAACAGTGAAAAGGAGGGGGTGAAATCTTATAAAATTCCTTATAATTTACAGAAGATTGTAGAAACACTTACATCTGGTGAAGTTTTGCAAAGCGCTATCATAAACTTTGCGATATTTTCAACGTTTATGTCAGCCAATGGCGATATTCTTGGAGCTGCGAATATAGATTTCACCGTCATCAACACTGCTTCTATTAGTTGTTCAGTAATTTCTGTCATGAGGGGCACCTTTTCCAAAACACAGCCGATAATCTGCTTAAGTCTGTTTGCTTCGCCATCTAAAAGAAATAATAATATTATCATGGGCTCCGTCCCCCCCCCTACACATAAAAGTTTATTCTCTTTATATAGTTAGAGATATTTTTCAGAGTACATTAATAGATAATTCCAGTAGGTAGCCGGTTGGGCTAGAATAGATGGTATAGATAGACCAGCTAGAATAGATAGAAATTTACATACCTGTAGCAGGATTGCACCACTTCAGAACAAGTCTGCAGATCAGAGAAGGTGATAGGATTCTTCCGCTCAGGATAAGCTGACACAAACCCAGGCAAGCCTTTTCTTGAATCTCGTATTGCTTGAAAGAAAAAGCATTCACCTACATCATACAGGTAGCAAAATACATTAATAATATTACTAATGAATTCATTATTGTCGAACCCAAATGGATATTGGCGTCAGATCATAAATATAAAAAATACAAAATAGAATATATGAAGACACAAAAAGTTTGGATAAGTCAAATGAATGATGTCACACATGTCATTAATGAAAAAATATATAAACAATAATAATGGTTCACAGTATAAACATAGATCGGACACATACAACAGGTACTTAACTACATATAGAAAATAATAAACACCTACATGTACACCTACATATACATAAAAGTCAATCAAACGTTAACAAAGGTGAAAGAAATGCAATGAAAGCAATAATCATCACAACAGTGATGATTAACAGGAAAAAGCAGCCACTAACAGTTTCTCGAGGGGTATTGTAGAAGACATAATAAGAAGAAATTTAGGTTAAGAATGAACGAAATCTCGACTTTCAAAAAGGACAAAAATCAAGATAAATACATCTCAGTTCCATACCACCAATATACGAAGAACTTTGGAAAGATTTTCAAGGAACTAGGTATGAAGGTGGTTTTTAAAACAAGTCATACACTACAGAGCCTTTTGGGAAGTCCAAAAGACAAAGTCGAGAATTCGAGAAAGTCTGGAATTTACGAAATTGAATGTAAGGACTGCGATGCAGAATATTATGGACAGACAAAAAGATCTAACGAAGTGAGATATTAGGACCACAAAGCACACTTTAAATATGGAAGACCTGAAAAATCAGCAGTCGCCCATCATATTTTGCAACAAAACCATTCCATAGACTTCAGTTCATTAAGATTAGTTAGACAAGTTAACAACAACAGGCAACTAGATGCCTATGAGAGTGTAGAAATAAGTAAACATAATAATATTATGAATAATGATAACGGATCAATACCAAATATCATACTATATAGCTTGTTAAAATAATAGCGTTGGGTTTACTGATTACTACATAAGGACACATTGTAAAAATAAATTTAGATAGGCAATATTGTGAAATGAGTTTTTTATATAGCTGAAAATTGTTTTATATACAGCTATAACATTTGAACAGATATTGTAAAATAATAGATAAGGCAAAATTGTAAAATTAATTTAGAGTGGTATATCTGTATGGTTTACCTGTAGGGTATATCTATATAGTATAAATAGCTTTAGCTTCGCGTTAGTTTCTAGTTTAATCGTCCTCTTGAAGATGATCACTTGGTGATCGAAACACGTTCGAGGTGTTAAAAATAACGATTTGGTGTTGGGAAAAAACTCCACTGATATGCATTACTACACCAAAGGTTCCAAACAGTGCATCATAAGTACATTATATGCCAGTGATTCCACACACCACATCACACATACAACCTACCACATAATATACACCATACAAAACTACAACCCACACATACACACCAAAGTCAACTCACACACACCAACACACAAGTCAACTCACACACACAAGTCAACTCACACATATAACTCAACTCGCACACACAACTCAAACAGACACAACTCAACCCACACACGCCACACACAACTCACAAGTCACACACACATCACTCTCAACACACAACTCACACACACATCACTCTCAACACACAACTCACACACGTCACACACAACTCAACTCACACACACACACACGCTACACACAATTCACACACACACACGCTACACACAACTCAACTCACACACGCCACACACAACTTACTGTCAACACACAACTCACACGCACATACAACTCAACTCACACATGCCACACACAACTCATACACACCACGCACAACTCATGCACACCACACACAACTCAATTCTCACACACACTACACACAACTCAACTCAATTCTCACACACAACTCATACACACCACACACAACTCAACTCATACACACCACACACAACTCAACTCACACACACACGCTACACACAACTGAACTCACACACACACACGCTACACAAAACACAACTCACACACACATACAACTCAACTCACACATGCCACACACAACTCATACACACCACGCACAACTCATGCACATTACACACAACTTAATTCTCACACACACTACACACAACTCAACTCAATTCTCACACACAACTCAACTCACACACGCCACACACAACTCAATTAGCACACAATTAATTAGCATCATCTGGCGATCATGACTAATAAAGAAGTTTCAGTCATATCCTGATGATGTTAACTTTCAAAACGCCCGCCAAAAGACAACATTTGTGTTTTGGGTGAGGGAAAAATGTTTGTGATAGAAGAATGATGTAAACAAATTCAGAGTTCCAGCAACACTTAAAATTGGAAATGAAAATAATGAAATAATAGACTCCTACCTATTTGTCATATTGAGTACTGACAATACTTAAATACCTTCTAGTCTACCATATTTACCTCATCGTCCATCAAATCCACGAGGCCCTGCAAAACATCCGACAAGGAAGTCCCCCCAGCAAAAATAGCCTGCTGACGTTCTTGCATACTCTCGGATAAATCTTCGTTTTCCGGAGCTGCCATCAACTGCGATCCGTAAATCCTCAACAGATCTACTACAGCGCCTATACATACTAGCAGGGTTTGGGTATCGCATTCATCTCCATTTTGATAGGCGAATATCTAAATTGAAATATGAAAGATTCAGAACGGCTATGAAAAAAAAAACCTGTTCAATAAGGAAGAAGGATGCTTCACTGAGGTATTATCTCTGCCGCGAAACATAGACAGGTAAATAATATAAACAAGCACTATACAGAAGTTAAAGAGCTTGTTTTTTTTATGTAGATAGTACGATCAAACTGGACGGACAAACAAACAACATAATTTTTCAAAACTTTTTTTTGTTGTTGATGATTATCGCCAAAACTATCAGGAGGCCATCTCCTCGAATAAAAAAGTTGGGGTCTGCCTTGAGGACAGACCCCAACTGAAGGTATAAAAATTGTATCTCACCGGCGTTGAGAAAAGATGAATGCCATTCCTAGACGTCGGTTTGTCGATGATACAACACAAAGCGTAACACCGTAGAGCCTTCACCCTGACACTGTCGTTGTCACTCATCAGTAACTCCTGGATGAAATCCTCCTTCAGAGCTTTCATTGAAGAAGTGAGATGGATCACTTTTGGACACAGCAGCATTGCAGAGGCAATGTCCAAGCACTTTATCGTCGTCAACAAGTCGGTTCTCTTTTGCACTTGACGTTGTTGCTGGGCTACTTCGACATTCTTCAAGTCTGTTAACTCAGCGGTTATTTGGGTCATCTCGTTCTTTATACGTTCCGCTTCTACAAAGTTTTGTTCTCTGATTGCTTTATCTAGATCTTCTTTCAAGAGATTCAATTTCACAGTGAGTTGAGAAATCTGAGGAAAATTAAAAAAAACTTAAAAAATTTCAGATAGTTCATGTATTTATGTACAGATTCTTATTTCATGATTTCAAACGAAGAAAAAAATAAATTTCAACATCTATATGACACAAGTCATAAAAATAGTTTCATTTAAATAATAAATTGAACAAGAAAATGAGTAACCAGAATTTCACATGGATTCCCAAAGTATTTGAATCTTTAATTACGGATGAAATATTCAATAATTTCAAATACGTCATAATAGATGAACAACATGGATTCTACAAGAGAAGGTCCACTGCCACCAATTTGGCTGTCTATCAAAACTTCATCACAAATAAGCTTGAGCAAGGGTTCCAAGTTGATGTTACCTACATGGACCTTGCTAAAGCCTTCGATTCAGTTTGTCATGAACTATTAATTTTAAAACTTAATAATCTTGGAATAACAGGCACATACTTGAAATTTATTGAATCCTACCTTTCTGGTAGATCACAGAATGTGAGGATAGCTGATAGTGTGTCAGAAACAATTCATGTGACATCAAGGGTTCCGCAAGGTTCGCACATTGGTCCTATATTATTTCTACTCTTTATTAATGATGTCAAATCAGTGTTTAAACACTGTAATATCTCTCTGTATGCAGACGACCTTAAGTTTTTCAAAACAGTGCAATCTACCAATGATATTGAATGTATTCAGAATGACCTAGAAAGCTTTTGTATTTACTGCGATACTAATTGTCTAAAAGTTAAAATTAAGAAATGTAATGTGTTGAGATTTTATAGAATAAGACAGCCTGTCATTGGAAACTACTCCATTAATGATGCAACTCTTCAAACTGTCAAAAGCTTATGAGATTTGGGAATTATTTTCGATAAAGATCTAAGCTTTATTGATCATGTTAACAATATCTGTAATAAAGCATTCAGAATGCTTGGATTCATCAAAAAGAATACCCGGCGTATTACAGAATATGATGCTATAAAGACATTATACTTTTCACTGGTTCGGAGTATTTTGGAATATAATAGTGTAATTTGGTGTCCTCTTTATTCTTATCATAAAGAGAGGCTTGGAAAAGTGCAAAATCGCTTCTCTAAATATATAATTTGGAAACTTGGCCTACCTGTATTAGATTTATTATCACTTGAGGACAGACGTAAACTTGCAATGGTTCTATTCCTTCATAAAATAATAAACTTCCACTACAATTGTTCAGCTATTTTAGATGACCTTTGCCTTTCTGTTAACTCAAGATCCTCAAGAAGCAATCGCATTTTTTCATTTGGGTTGCGATTCCACAAGACTAACTATGGCTCTCAAATTATGGGACCCTTATAAAAGAAAGACAAAAAAATAGGAAACTAACCTTGTAGGTCTTCTCCTGTTCAACTTCCTGGCATTTTTCTGATTCCATCGGGTACAAAATTTCTGATATGATCTCACTAACAAACTGTGTCCTCTTCTCGAAGTTTGGAATTGAACATTCCAATGTGCTAACAATAACTTCAATCGTATCAGACATTAACACTGCGTTTTCTAAAATGTTGGTCACCAGAGTATTCAGGCATTTTCTATTCGTAACCTCAGCGAAATCAAAAGTCTTTGTTATAAGAAACAGCTGTTTCAAGATGAATTGGTGTTCTAAGAATTCATAAGCTGTTACCTCTTTGGGATTATTGATGTAATACCTGAAAATAGTTATTTAACAAAATATATAAACGAGATATGTTCAAATTTCGCGGCTACGTACATTAAATTAACGATATTTTTGTTTCAAACATATATTTAGTTTAAGCTTTTCAGCATGCTTACTTTGTTGGTGAGAGGCATAAGAGTTAAAAGTGTTTTTGAACCGATCTCGTATAGTGTGGAAGTAAAAAATCTCCCCTTCTCTTTTGAAAAGTACAAGGTATCAAGGTCGGACAAAATTTACGTAAAAAGATATCATTTTAAGTATTCGTTGATAAGAGAGACAATGGTGTTGCACCACCCGTCGCCAAGAGGGCGCTTCAATTATTTTTTCAAATAGAAAAAAGGGGTGTAAATACAGGGTGTTCCTTAATGATATGCAAATATTCAAAGGAGTAAATTTATATGAAAAAATAATAATCGAAAAATGTTCTGTTACGAAAATATGACGCTTCATGAAAAAAAACGGAAATTAAGCAATAAAAGTTGGTATTTTTCAAAAAAAAAAATATTTTCAACTTCAACAGAGGCGTGGCTACGGAAATTAATTTCGATATTTTTATTGAATTCTATCTTACTTCAGTTCAATAATTTCTCAGACAAAACAAGAGTATTTGTTTTTTACTCAAAAACAACATATCTTAAGAAATAACTCAAGAGGACTTCTTTGGAGCCGTTCATTGAACACGTGATGTTTTATTAGTATTTTTAACCCCCTCTTCCCGCCTGTAATATGTGATGAGGATTAAGACTAACCCCCCCGCCCCCACCCAAAATCACGTGTATTTTTAGTACCTACAAAAAGTCTTGAAATTTTAAGAATATTGTCTTTAAATACAGGTATAAAGTATAATCTTATTTTATTAAGGACTATGTCAAAAATGTCTCGATCGATGGGTTGCAGGATGTTTTTGACTGGCATAAATAGCGACTCACTGAAATTTGCAAAAGACGAATTAATCAGCCCCATAACGTTTTTCATCAATACCTGTTTTGCAGAAGGTGTTTTTCAAGAGATTCTTAAACTCTCCAAAGTTATACCGATTTTTAAAAAGGGTAACAAAAATAATATCAGTAATTACCGACCCATCTCCCTAGTTCATATTCTATCAAAATTGCTTGAATTGGCTTATAAAATCAGACTGATCAACTATTTAGAGAGAAAAAATGTACTGAACCCTAAACAACATGGATTTCGTGAGGGAAAGTAACTTTATTTTACATTTTAAATAGCTTAAAATTTGTTTCTGCAAGTACAAAATTTTCCTTTTACTATTTTTTTGACGACTGTATACAATTTTTTTAATTGTCACACAAGAGAATAAACTCTACTCTACTCTAAAAATAATATTAAAGGAACAGTGTAATCATGAAAAAAAACATATTTTACTAATACATTAACATATCCCAACCACAAATAAGCCAGTCTTTCTTCAACACAAACAACTTCTTTTTTTGTAGTATATTTTTGTTTCACATTAGCCCAAAACGACTAGTTCAACATGTTTTCCAATCACCAACATGGATATCTGAAAAATAAGTCTATCGAAACAGCTCTGGTGTATGTTAACATTGAAATCATAGAATCAACGGAAAGTAGAGATCTGGCCTGCGAGATTTTTCTAGATTTATCCAAGGCCTTCGATTGTATAGAACACAATATTTTGCTTTGCAAACTTTTCGAATACGGTATACGAGGTAACACTTACAACTGATTCAACTCATATCTTAAAAATAGAAAGCAGATAGTACAACTCAACCAGAAAAACAAAACAGTGAGATCAAAAGCCTTGACTACATCGATAGGTGTCCCTCAGGGAAGTATTCTGGGCCCAATACTATTCATTATTTTTATCAATGACATCAGCGAGGCTACAAAAAATGTAAAGTCTGCTCACCTTATCAACTATGCTGATGACACCAATCTCCTGCTAACTGGTGACACATTACCAGATATAATCAAGAATGAACGTGACGTAATCAAACAATGCAAAGAATATTTTCTTGCGAACAAGTTGATTCTAAATGAAGGAAAAACTGACTGCCTCATATTCAAAACCAACAACAGTTTAGAAAAGCCACATCACATAACACTTGATAGTGAAAAACTTATTTGCAATACTTCAGTAAAGTTTCTGGGAATCAGCATTGATGATACTTTGAACTGGACAATTCAGATAGATAATATCTACAGTAGATTGGCTTCAGTAATATATGGGTTGAAAGTTAAGAGAAAATATTTATCAGCTAAAAATTATTTTAGGATCAACTACAGAGATACATCGTCATAAATGCGAAAATAGGAAACTAATCTATCTAGTAGGTCTTATTAGCGATAGTGACAATTAAATTGGTATGACGCTGTCAGTTTGTGAATTTTCGAAATTGAATTAATACTAATTGTGTGTTGTTGTTCTGTTCTTAATTTGTTACTTTATTAATTCACTTCTATCATTATTATTATTATTGTTATTAAAATGCCGTACACATATGAGGAAATGGCTGATATGCATTACGTTTACATTCTGTCGCAGGGGAATGGGTTAGAAGCTTCTAGAAGATATGCTGTAATTTATCCTCAAGGGCAACATCCTTCACACAGAATATTTGCTCGACTTCATCATCGATTACGAGAATATGGTTCATTCGACAAAAGACCGCAAGATTGTGGCTGCCATCGAGAAGTACGAACACCCCAGCTTGAGGAAGCAGTACTTAATTTGATTGAAGAACAACCTACTACCACTACTAGAAAGATTGATTTCCAGCTAAATGTTGATCATATGACGGTATTTCGAATTTTAAAGGAACAACTCTTATACCCTTACCATCTGCAACAAGTACAGGCACTGTTACCGCGGGACTTTCCGAACCGTCTTGAATTTTGCAATTGGATGCTGGAAATGATTAGAAGAAATTGTGACTTTCTGAAGACGATAGAATTCACAGACGAATGTAGTTTTTCTTGGGACAAGATTATTAATTTTCATAATTACCACAAATGGGCTGATGAAAACCCTCACGCTATTGTCGAAACTAACCATCAAGAACAGTTTTCTCTTAACGTGTGGCTCGGAGTTATTAGAGATGATTTAATTGGGCCTCATTTTCTACCTCCTCGATTAAATGGTTAGGCATACGTTCAATTTCTAAGAGAAGTGCATCCAGTACTGCTGGAGGAAGTTCCTTTGGGCGTCAGAAGGGATATGTTTTTTATGCATGATGGGGCTCCCGCCCATTTTAGTCGAGTAGCACGTCAGCATTTAAGTGAAACATATGCCAATCAGTGCATAGGTCGAGGAGGACCATCTGCCCGCTCGATCCCCGGATCTCAATCCTCTCGATTTCTCTATTAGGGGCCATTTACAGCATTTGGTTTATCGTACTCCTGTTCGCGATGTAGAGGACTTAAGAAACCGCTTCATCGATGCGTGCAGGGTAATCAGAGACTCGAGGAATATTTGAGCGAATACGTGGCACAATGCGCCGATGTCTAGTCGCATGTGTAATGTCTGAAGGTAGACATATTGAACATTTACTATGATTTCTACATGTTGTGTGTTTTGTTATTAATAAATTAGTTTTGTTTATTACCCTTCAATCGTTTAATGCAGGTACTAACTACAAAATAACAATAAATCCAGTTCGCATTTATGACGATGTGTCTCTGTAGTTGATCGTAAGATAATTTTTTGCTGCGAACTGGTTCATTTTGGGCAAAAAAACTCAAGAGACATTTTTTGTTTAGAATAAAACAGGCTATTGGAAATGAATTTTTAAATGTTAAACAAATAATAAGACAAAAAGTTACATTGAAAATAAATTTTAGGGGTTGCGTTTTCCACCCCTTACAACCATAATGTAAACCAAAAAAATGACTGGCTAAGTGTCTTTTTGGTAGTACAAAACGTCAGGTTAATTTCAATATCGTAACTTTTTCAGTGCTTGTGAAAAAAATTGTTATACAAATTTTATGTACCCCCTTTAAGGGGCTGTATCTTAACAAGGGATGCTCCAATGAAGTTTCTTTATATGAAAGATCCTATCTTTTTTTCGATGAGAAATCACCTCCTTAAATGTTTTACACTTATTCAGTTACACCCTGTATATCTTTGAAACAATGAAATTTCTAACTGCTCACCCAAATCTTTTCGAGAATGGGATACGCAAAATCATTTTTATGAAACAAGACATAATGAAATTCTATAACAGAATCTCCCAAAATATATGCAACATTGAGGTTGTAGACAGGTTTCTGAGGTCTTTGCCACTGTGTTCATGTAGGACTACAAATACTCTGTGAAGTAAATAAAGATATCTATCTATCTAATTCTTTCTGAGCCACAAGTTTTTTTTTTATTCTCTGCAAATAGATCTTTATTCAGATCACCTAGTTTAGACATTGTTTTAATGTAGAACGAACGTGATACACCCCCTTTGTGATATTTCGTGGTTTTTGCTAAACCCCCCCCTCTTTCCCTTTCAAGACTCACGTGAGTAATGGACAGTCCCTTTATCCCAAATTGCACGAGCTCAAAAATGAATTTTATTTGAAAAATTCCATAGACATAAAATTTTCTCCTTTAAAAATATCGAATTCACAATTTTCTTACCCACGCCACTGGTGAAGTTGAAAATTATGTTTCATTGAAAAATATAAACTCACCACTAATTATATACAATATATAGTAATGAATAACTTCATTTTTTTTTAAACTTCAACACATAGTATTTTTGTAGCAGAACATTTTTGGAGCATAGTTTATACAGCAACCTTAAATAAAGATATTAGCATATCATTATGAAACAACACCTTGTGTATCACAATTGTTTACAAACAAAATCAAAGCACAGTGCCGTATCTGGCAGCTCCAATAATTTTGCTATAAGAAAATGAATATTTCCAAATAAAATATTGAGATATTTACCAATTTCATACACCGTAGTTTCTGATAAACACCAGTATGGTATTAGCCAGAGAAGTAGTTGTTTTCCGGCAGGCATATACCAGAATCTACGGTGTGTGTAGTTGGGACAGATGAATATTTCTGAATTTTATTTAGAAATATCAATTTTCTGATACGTACTGTATCTCTCTTCAATAGAGTCTTCAGAAATGGTTTGAACACCAATCATTTTGCTGACAAGTTGTAATTGCCGAAGGAATTTTCGCCAGTCAAATTAGTCTCATACAGAAACAGAGAATTTAGTTTTTTTCACTCACTGTTTAATATAACTGCAAAAATAAATCAATTCTGGTATAGCTTCATCTAATTCTACGTCAAACTCTTCGTTTTGGCTTAAATATTGCACATAGATTCTCCAGTAACTGACAGTTTCCCAATCTAGATTATCTAAGGGTATTAACTTCTTATCATCAAGTCCCAGCATTCCAGTTAATTCCTTCAGTGGCCTGTCTCTGAAATTCAAAAAAAAAATAACAAAACTCGAAAATTATTAGTCCCCAAAAACATTTTTCAAACCAGTTCATCAACAGGTGTGAAATGACTGGTCTATAACTGTGGTATGAGAAATTTTAGTGGTTCTAACGATATAGCAATTTATTTATATATATATATATACATATATACGGGATTTACCCGGTTTTCTCCCTTTATTGGTTTTTCT